GCCGGAGCAGCGCTCACCCGTCGCTGTCCTTGCAGGTGACGCCTTTCCCGGAAGCCTACAGGGAGACGCTGCACGCCTACAAGATAAGCGAGCAAGACACGGATGTAAGAGCAAACGTTTGTCCTGCCTGTCCCCTCTCTGCCCTGTGCTGGTGCTGTGAGCTTCATTGCTCAGTTTCAGCCCATGTTTGGATTTGGCCCACTTCTCACCTTGGCCGGGGGTGAGGTCCCTGCAGCAAGCCTGGCAGGCTGGAAACCCTCCCCAGGGCAGCGTGTTGCCCCGTCAGTGGGTGATGTCCTGGCTCCTCCCCAGGGCCTTGACTCCAGCTGAGCAAACACCGTGCACAAACCTGTTTGCACAAGCACACCGCGCTCTGATCGCTCTTCCTCCCTCTCTTTTTCCCGCCCGGGGACAGAAGCTCCTGGGGAAACTCTGCGAGCAGAACAAAGTGCTGCGGGAGCAGGAGCGGCTGGGGGAGCAGCTCCGAGCGGAGAAGGTACGTGGAGCGCGTGGTGCACGGAGGCTGCTGCCTCTCCGCCTGGTGCCCCTGGGCCCAGGGCTGGGCAGCCGTCCAGGGACAAGCCTGGCTGCAAGGCAATGGCCATTCCCAGGTGGCAGCACCATGGCAAGGAAGCGATGTCCCGTTTTCTTGGTGACAGCTCAGTGGGGATGATCCTGAGCTGGGCAGAGACAGCCTGGCCATGCTGTGGACCTGGTACTCCACATGCATTAACGGTGTATGTGTAAGGAGAGGGTCTGCTGCTCCCACGTCAGCTGAGGCAGGGTGACCTGCCCCAAGGCCCCCAAGGCAGTGGCAGAGCTGGGTTGAGCCCAGGGTGGCGCGGGGGCCATGTTGAGGGCTCTCACGGCTGTGTTGCCTTCCCCCCTAGGAGAGCCTGGAGAGTGCCCTCATGGGGACGCACCAGGAGCTGGAGATGTTTGGGAGCCAGCCGGCCTACCCGGAGAAGCTGCTGCACAAGAAGGAATCGCTCCAGAACCAGCTCATCAGCATCCGTGTGGAGCTGTCCCAGGCCAGCACGGTAACGTGCTCGTCCCCGCACAGCCCTCCTCCTCCACCGCGGGGCTGGGGACGCCCACTGGCACAGGAGATGGCAGGGACCCACTTGGCGCTGCGGCCCCGGCAGAGCCGCATGCCAGCCCGCCTGCACGGGGAGAGGAGGAGGAAAATCCCCTCGACTGGCTGGCAACCCAGATGAGCCAAAGTCCCTGGCTGGGGACAAAGCAAATTAACCCTTGTGACGCCAGGCTGGCACACATGCCAGGAGCCGTCGCAGCTCTGGCTTCCGGCTGGCTTGGCCAGCGCTGGCAGGAGCCCGGCTCCTCCGCCAGCTTCCTGCCCGGTGTGAATGCCCCAGCCCGGGGCGCAGGCACCGCTCCGTCTCCCTGGCTCCTGCACCGACTCGGCCATTCCCAGCGTGCCATCAGAACAGGGAGCTCCCAAAGGCATAGCCTGTCTTGAGACGTGGCTCAGGCTTGTGTCCTGCTGCTGCCACCACCTTGCAGGCTCTGCTGGAGCTCAGGGTTTCGTTTTGGGAGCAGATTCCCTGTGCTTTCCTGGGTGCTGTGCTGGCCCGGGGCTGCTGCAAAGCTGGGGGAGAAAATTGCCGAGGGCTCGCTGGGCAGACCTGCTAGCCGCCAGCACCGGGCAAAACCCTTCCTAATCCCCCTTCCTCCGCAGGCCTTGGCCAACAGCACTGCCGAGTACGAGAGTCTGGAGAGTGAGGTGTCCGCCCTGCACGACGACCTCTGGGAGCAGCTAAACCTGGACATCCAGGTGAGCGCCGGCGCTGCCGGCCCGGCCAGAGCAGGGCTCCCCTGCCAGCTCCTCGGAGGTGAAAGTCTCCTGGGTTCTTTGGTCCTCCAGTCCCCCAAGGAGCTGGTTTGCAAGCAGCTGCTCTGTGCTCAGACCTCAGCATCCTGCTTTGCCCATGCAGAGTAGCAAATGGCACCTGTGGCATTGAGCCCAGAGGGGTGCAGGAAGCACAGGCACCCTGGTGCTTTTCCCTGGGTGCTAAACAGGCTGTAGCACAGCGCGCTTGGTGCCCTGGGCAATTCCCAGCGCTCATGGAGCTCTGTAGTCGGAGCTCCCTGCCCCAGCCTGGAGCTTGTGCCCAGAGGGAGCTGAGAGATAGCTCTTGGCAGGAATCGAGTTGTGAATGCGTTGGTTCAGATCGCCCGGGGCAGTGTGCTGGGGAGCAGCCCTGGGGCTGGGGACGCGGCAGGGCTGGCGGTGGGGGCGGCTGAGCC